TCAAGGAGGAGAAGGAGGAGGAGGAGGAGGAGGAGGAGCCAGAGGAGGAGAAGGAGGAGGAGGCAGAGGAGGAGGAGGGGGCCTCCTTCTTCTCCGCCTCATCCATCTCCTCCTCTCCTCCACCACCACCTCCTCCTACTTCTCCTCCTCCGTCTCCTCTTCCTCCGCTCTCCGCCTCCTCCTCCGCTCTCCGCCTCCTCCTCCCATCTCCTCCTTCTCCTCCTCCTCCTCCTTCTCCTCCTCCTTCTAAATGAAACCACCCTGTCGCGCACGCGAACGTGGTGATAGCGCTTGTCTGGCAGTTCGCATGATACCTTGCCCACCATGTACAATCCTAGAGCTTGACGTGTGCACCAATTCTACGGATCGACTCTCGCCTTAGAGCCGCGCATACTCGCCTTACATTATTGCAGTCGCTTCTAGGATGGAGGACACGTTGGTTTCAACATATGGTTCTCGCCTTAGGGTCTCGCACATTCGACTTGAAAGTTTGCAGCACATCCACGGGTTTGTATGATTGACGTCCCAGGGATGGTGATCAGGCATGGCTTAGGGTTGCCAAGACGCAACAGCTTAGTTGATTATCGGCGTTGGAAACCCAGGAGCGGTGTTCTGTCAGGATGTAGGGCTGTCACGAAAAAAAACACCAATCACGCCGATTCGCGGCGCTGAAGTCCCCCAAATCATGATTTGACACCCGTGGGGAGTATCAAGCAGTTGTCCGCTAATGGGCCACTTCCCGCAATGAACATACATTATTGTGGGGGGCCTATTAAGAGAGAACTAGGAGGATGGTCGATTGCAACATCATTGGTGCGCCGTGTGCTTACACTCGTTATCCCCCCTACTCCTCATCCTCCTCCCCCTCTCCTCCCCTACAAGGCATCCTCCGTTTTCCTGCAACATGCCTTCCTCCATCTCCTCCTCCCCCACCACCGCTCTCCCCCTACTCCTACACCGCTCTCCTAATCCTCCTCCGCCTCATCATCACCAGCAACAGCATCATCATCATCATCAGCATCATCAGTATCATCATCATCATCAGTATCATCATCATCATCAGTATCATCATCATCATCATCAGCAGCATCATCATCATCATCATCATCATCATCATCATCAGCAGCAGCAGCATCATCAGCATCATCATCAGCAGCAGCATCATCATCATCACCATCATCATAATCATCATCATCCCCGTACTTCGTTCCTTCCGTCCTTCCTTACTTCCTGCCGTCCTTCTTCCTCATCTACCTCTTCATCCGCCTCCCCCTCCTCCTCCGCTCGCCTCCGTCCACCTCCATCCTTGATCTGTATGAGTAGCTCCTTCCTGTCGCGCCCCAAGACGTGTCGGTAGGGCGGGCTGGGCGTGTTGCTGTAGACGTTCTCACAGTTTCATCCTCAAACTTGAAAGTTGCAACAGTTTCCCAGATGGGGGGTGCGCGTGGTTTCCGAAGTGATGGTTTTGCTTTAGCGCCGCGCACATTGCCTTAAAAGTTCGCCACCGCTTCACGGACGGAAGCCCAGCTCTGTTCAACATTTGGCTCTCGCCTTAGCGCCGCGCACATTCGTCTTAAAACATAGTAACAGCTTCCACGATGGAGGGCAGTTCCTTTTCAATATGTGGCCCTCGCCTCACTTAGCGCCTCGCATATTCGTTTCGAAAGTTCGCAACAGCTTCAAGGGCTCGTATGTCTGACGTCCCAGGAATGGTGCCCTGGCACGGGTTAAGGCTGTTAGGACGCATCGCCTAATTTGATTCGCAGGGGATGGTGTTCTGGCACGATTTGGGATGGTCAGGACGCAACTGTCACGTTGATTCGCTGCGCTGAAATCCCACGAATGGCGGCTTGGCGCGATGTTGATTTGTTTGGGGGTTGTCTGCTCATTGGCCACTTCCCGCAGTAAACAAAAATTCTTGAACATACCTACGAAGAGGGAAATTGCACAGAGGGTAAATAGCAACATCGTTGGCGCATCTTGGGTTTAAACTCGTCCTCCCCCCTCCTCCAAACCCCCTTCCTCATCATCGTCTTCCAACTCCTGCCTGGGAGACGGGGGGGGCGGATCAAGGAGGAGAAGGAGGAGGAGGAGGAGGAGGAGGAGCCAGAGGAGGAGAAGGAGGAGGAGGCAGAGGAGGAGGAGGGGGAGGAGGAGGAGGAGGAGGAGGAGGGAAGAGGCAAGAGAAGAAAGAGGGGGGAGGAGGGCAAGCAGAGGCTAGGGGGGGAGGAAGAGGAGGAAGATGCCGATGAGGAGGAGGCGCAAGGACGGCCTCTCCCTCCGTCCTTTCTGTGGCCCTGCACCGCCTCGGGAACTGCCGACGCGGGCTCGGAGGGAAGACACGGGGGGAAGGCCAGGGGAAGCCCGGGGAAGGGAAGGATAGCAATGTGGAGGGATTGCAGGATGATAGGGAGTGGGGGGAGCAGAGGAGGTGGAGGAGAGGGACGGAGGGATGGAGTGATGGAGGGATGGAGGCAGGGGAAGGTGGAGGGATGGCAGGATGGAGGAGAGGGGAGGGAGGGGAGGGGAGGGAAGGATAGCAAGGTGGAGGGATGGCATGATGGAGTGGAGGGGAGGGAGAGAATTCCTGGGGGAACAGCAGAAGTCACACAGGAGGAGGGAGAAGGCGTCCTCACGCCTCCTCCTCATCGTCATCTTCCACCTCTTCCTCCTCTTCCTCCCCCCGTAGCCTCTGCTTGTCCTCCTCCTCCTCCTCCTCCTGCTCCTCCTCCTCCTCCTCCTCCTCCTCCTCCTCCTCCTCGTCCTCTTCCTCCTGCTCCTCCGCTTCCCGCCCCCTCCGTCTCCTCCTCCTCCTCCTCCTCCTCCTCCTCCTAACTCCTCCTCCTTCTCCTGCTCCTCCCGCTTCCTCACTCCTCCCTCCTTCATTCCTCCTCACCCCCCTCCTCCTCCTCGGAGCAGGAGGAGGAGCAGGAGGAGGAGGGGGAGTTGGTTCGAAGGTCGGCGCATTGATCTTGATCGTCGCCGCGGTTTGCTGGGCCTCCCGAGGCCCGTACTCTCAGCAGTCGCCCTTGGCTCCCACGTCGGCCCTCGGCCGGCGCCCCGCTGCCGTGGCGCGGGGCGCGCGCGAGCGAGCGGGGGGGCGGCGGGGGAGGACCGCAGTTCGGGCCCCCGATGGCCCTCCTCCTGCTCCTCCTCCCTCCTCCTCCTCCTCCTCCTCCTTGATCCTTCCCTCCTTCTCCTCCTCCTCCTCCTCCTCCTCCTCCTCCTCCTCCTCCTCCTCCTGCTCCTCCCCCTTCACTCCTCCTCTCCCTCCTCCGCCCCGGCGTGCGGGGGCCAGGCCTCGCAGACGCGCAAGCTGACGGAGGCTTGGGAACCGCTGCTGCGCAGAACGGGACGGCCCTGGCACCCCCCCGTCCCCCACGAACGGCGAGCCTATATCCGTATCCGCGCCCGCGCGGTCTGGACTCCGGGGCGTGACCCCGAGGTACGCGGTCGCACGTAAAACGCTCCGCCTGGGGCACCTTCCAGAAACGCCACGCACCCGCGGGGTCGCAGCCCGAGGGTCCGGGCCGCGAGGGCCTGGGCACGGATCCCGGAAGGCTGGTGAAGCGAGGAGCGTCAAGGAGTCGATGAGCGAAGGCCTCCTCCGGCCCCGACGGCGCCTGCGTGCACGAGGAGGGCGAGAGGAACGGCCACGGAAGGACCCAAAGGAACATCGGGCCCGCTCCGAAGCCGAGCTGCTCCAGCTTTCCGCGGCCTGGCTGCACGGTCCCCGCCCGGCGCGCCGTGAAGCCAATGCCCGCTTCCATCGGGGTGTCCACGTTGCAGAGGTCGGCATGCCAATGCCTGCGGCGCAGACTGGGGGCCCGCGACCGAGGAGAGCCTCTGCGTCCTCCTGCGCCTCCCCCTTCGTCCTCCTCGCCTCGCCATCACCACCACAAGCCCACCCATCACCATCATCAACGCCGTCATCAGTTTCCTCCTCCTTCTCCTCCCCCTCCTCCTCCTCCTCATCATCATCATCATCATCAGCAGCATCATCATCGTCATCATCATCATCAGCAGCATCGGCAGCATCACCACCCGCATATTGTTCACCACCATCATTACCATCATAATGATACCGGAGAAAAACCCAATCATGATCTTTTTAGGGCTTTAGGAATATGGGGCCATAAGGCTACAGGGCTAGAAGGCTATGGGGCTGTAGGGCTACAGGGCTACAGGGCCCTATGGCTATAGGGCTATTGGGCTATAGGGTTATGGGGATGTAGGGCTATAGGGCTATAGGGCTATAGGGCTATAAGGCTCTAAGGCTATAGAGCTATTAGGGCTGGAGGTCTACAGGGCTATAGGGCTATATAGACCTACCGGGCACCTGGGCACCCGGGCACCTGGGCATCCAGGCACCCAGGCACACGGGCACACGGGCACCCGGGCACCCGGGCGTGCGGCGAAAATCGGCGGCAAACCTAACCTAACCATATGAATCCGCTAGGACCCCTACAGAGGCAAGCTCTGATTGGCGAATCGTCATCATCAGCATCATCAGCATCATCAGCATCATCATCAGCAGCAGCATCAGTATCATCATCAGCATCAACATTATCATCATCATCATCATCATCATCATCATCATCATCATCATCATCATCATCATCATCATCATCATCAGCAGCAGCAGCAGCAGCATCATCATACTCATAATCTACGTTACCATCATCATCAGCAGCATCATGAGCATCAGCATCAGCATCAGCATCAGCATCAGCATCAGCATCAGCATCATCACCATCGCCGCCATCATCACCAGCATCATCAACAACCTCAGCATCGTGAATATCGCCAGTATCATCATGATGATCATAATCGTCAACATCCTCATCATTCTCATCACCAGCATCACTATCAACACCATCATCATCAGCACCATCATCAAAAACAGCATCATCGCCAGGAACATAAACATTGTCATGATTGTCATCATCAGTCTCATCATATTCATCATCATCCTCATCAACATCATCAGCAGCAGTATCCTCTTCCTCTCACGAAAAAACAACATCATCATCATCATCATCATCCTCCTCCTCCTCCTCCTCCTCCTCCTCGTCGTCGTCGTCGTCGTCGTCGTCGTCGTCGTCGTCGTCGTCGTTGTGGACGCCCATCGTCGTCGTCGTCCATCGTCGTCGTCGTCCTCGTCGTCGTCGTTGTCGTCGTCGTCCTCGTCGTCAACGTCATCGCAACCACCACCACCACAACCATCATCATCATCATCATCGCCACCAGTATCAGCATCATCATTGTCCCCCCCCCCTCCTCCTCCTCCATCATCCCCCGCGCCTGACGACGCGCGCCTGGCGGTCCGCCCTCGCAGCCCCCGCCAGAAGTACCTCAGGGGGCTCCGCCCAGGGCCCCACGCCGCCAGCACTAGGTCGGGCCGGTTCCCCATACAGGGGGATCTTGACGACAAATAAAACGAAGTCAAACCATACTCCAAACAGATTCAAACATAGTGCAAGGATCGTCCCCATACGATGTTTTCACTATTGTTGGATATTCCGCCTGTAGGAAGACATGCCCGACTTAACGCCAGCAGAGAAGAGGGTGCCGCAAAGCAGGGCGCGCCACGCAGCCGCCGACAACGCAGGGGGGTGGGGGAAGCGGCACCAGTTGTGCTCATCCACCTCTCGGCGGCGAGCCCAGGGGGAGGCCTTCTCAACGGCGGCGGAGCTCCTCAGAAGCCCTCGCGCCTTCAGAAGAGCCCCCAGTGGCTTCGGAAGTAGCTGGCAAGGCTCCTCACAAGGCGCGAGGCCTTCTGAGAAGCCCAACCGCCTTCTGAGAAGGCCCACCCCCACTCGCTTCCCCCATGGGCTCGCCGCCGAACCGTCTTCTACGGCTCCCACACTGCTACTCCTCACGAACATTCTTCCTCGTCGGTCCACGAGACGTGTTTGTAAGGCGGAAGAGGCGGTTATCCTGGGACCTTGGCTCTCAGCGTACGACCATGAACCTTCAAAATCCCAGCAATTATACCGACGGGCGGCAAACTGTGTTCGAACTATTGCTCTTGCGTTCGCTCGCCGCATGAGCTGGAAACCAACTGTGGTTTCCGCATCTGCACCGCGAATAGATGTCCTAAACTAAACCTGCAACAATTACACGAATGGTGGCGGGGTCTGCGTTTAAATTGCGGCTGCCGCCTTCGCGTCGCGAAGATCCATCTTTGAATGCTGCAAAATGTGGATGCGCATGGGTGGAAAACGGCACCTTTCCAAACATCCGGTCATCGCTTGACCCTCCACAACACATATGGCCGTGAAGCTCGACAGTTCCAACAACTACACGGATGGAAGGCGGCTCATTTGTCGAAAGGGAGGGCCCTCGCTTGAAATGTCCTCGCTATGTCTCCAACGGAGCTCAAGCATGCGACCTCCTCCTCTTCCTCCCCCCCGTTGGAGTCCGACCACCCCCCCTCCCAACCAACCAACATTCTGGAACAGACCCGGCTGAGACCATCTTGCGCGGAAAAGCGATCTGGGATACCTATTCTCCGGGTGACCCCATGGCCACATGCGGGACCTATTCTCCGGGTGTCCCGTCCCCCCCTCTGGTGTTCCGAGGCTGGCGTCCCCCTCCTGCCTTAATCCTGCCATCAGCGATGCGAGTGCCCATCCCAGCGTGCGCGTCGGAGGCGCAGAAGCTACTGCTTGGGCCCCGAGCTCGCCATGATTAGAAGAAAAAAAAGAAACCAAATAAGCACATAAATCTTTGGCGCTCCGCGCGGATATCTCGGGTCCGCGCCACACCACCCTCCGGAGGCGCCGCCGGGAGGGCCAGCGCGGATCCAAGATATCCGCGCGGAGCGCTGAAAGTGTTTTTTTCTTCGAATTATTCTTCTTCTTCGGATTCTTCATTCGAATTATGCGGTTTGTTCGTCTTTTTCTTCTTTTTCTGTGGTTTTTTCTTCTTCGAATTATTCCAAAACGCGGTCCCCCCGCCGTCCGGCTCAAGCTCTGATGGGGGGGGTGCCAGGTGCTCAGGAGAGGCCGCAGCACCGCTCAAAACGAGGAGCAGCCAGCCGTTCCTGCGGGGTGGGCACGTCCCTGTAAGTCGGGCGTATCCCTCTGCAGGAGACTATTCCAAAATCGTGAAAATAGTGCGATATGATTTTTATGTTTAGGATATTTCGAGGCACCTTTTGAACACGTTTCATTTGTCGTCCAAACTCCGCCTGTGGGGGGACATGTCCGACCTAACACGTCGGACATGTCCCCCCACAGGCGGAGCTTATAAAGGTGAGGGTGCAATAAATCTGCGGAGTGTATTTGCGTAGTGTACGTGCGTAGTGTACTTGCGTAGCGTATTTGCGTAGTGTGTTTGCGTAGTGTATTCACGTAGTGCATTTGCGCAGTATGTTTGCGTAGTGTATTTCGTAAAATGTATTTGCGTAGTGTGTTTGCGTAGTGTCTTCGCGCAGTGTGTGTGTGTGTGCGTGTGTGCGTAGTGTGTCTGCGTAATGTTTTTACGCCGTGTCTTTTGCGCAATGTTTTTGCGTAGTGTTTCTCGCGTTGTGTTTCTTGCGTAATGTTTCTTGCGTGATGTTTTCGCGTAGTGTTTCTTGCGACGTAATCTTGCGGTGTGCTTTCACGTAACGTGTTTGCGTGGTGTTTCTACGTTGAGTTCCTGCGCAATGTTTCTTCGCAGTGCTTCGGCGTGCCGTTCGGCGTGGCGTTTCGGCGTGTTGTTTCGCGACGTGTTTCGGCGTGGACGACCACGTAGGCGCGTAATGTATTGGCATCGCGTCTCGGTCATGAGCGTGATTGTTGCGTAGTGTATCTGCGTAGCGTATCTGCGTACTGTATATGCGTAGTGCGCTGGCGTAGTGTATTTGCGTAGGTGTACATGCGTAGTGTATTTGCGTTGTGTATTTGCGTTGTGTATTTACGTAGTGTACTTGCGTAGTGCATTTGCCTACTGTATTTGCGTATTGTATTTGCACAGTGTGTTTGCGCACTGTTTTTGCGTCGTGCGTTCGCGCAATGTTTTCGCGTAGTGTTTATCGCGCAGCGTTTCTTGCGTAGCGTTTATTGCGTTATGCTTTCGCGTAAAATTCTTGCGTCGTGTTCTTGTAACGTGTTTGCGTAATGCTTATGCGTTGTGCTCCTGCGCAATGTTTCTGCGCAGTGCTTAGGCGTGCCGGTCGGCGTGGCGTTTCGGCGCATTGTTTCGCGACGGGTTTCGGGGCGCTCCTGAAAACACTACGTACAAACAAAAAAAAAAACTACGCAGAATGCCCTCGTCGCCCGCGTCTCGCGCCAGTTCCGCCCGAATCCGCAACTGCCCGGGGCCTCGGGCGAACCTGGCGAGAGACGCGGGCGACGCGGCACGCTGCTGCGTAGCGGTTCGGGAGTGTTGCTTCCCGCGTAGCAGCGTTGCCGACTCGGGGCGTTCTTGAAAACACGACGCAAAAACACTACGCAGAATGCCCTCGTCGACCGGACTTCGCAGGGCCGCGCCAGCCGCTGGAGCGCACTGTGACGAGACCTTCCTTTATACACACGTAGTGCGCGGACGTAACGTACTCACGTACGTAATGCGTCTACGCAGTGTATTTGCGTAGGGTATTTACGTAGTGTATTTCCGCAGTGTATTCACGTAGTGTTAATTTCACCTTGAAAATTTCTATTTCACCATTAAAATTTTCATTCCACCATTCACCACAACCGTTATGCCGGCTTCGGCCGCGAATGCGCTGCGAATGCGCTCACCCGGGTCGGCTTTCCGCTCACATGGGTGCCTTCCTTCCTCCCCGAAACGTGGAGCACTCTTAGAGGGCAGAAAATCCACCCCGATGATAACCACCCCGACATGAAAAGCCGTTTAGTAAACGCCCCCACTGAAGGAATCAAAGAGGGCAGGGCTGTTTAGTAAAGGCCCCAAGGCCGTTTACTAAACGCCAAATGTCAAGTCCGGGTTTTTTCCTCCCTTGATTTCGGCCGCGAATGCACTGCGAATGCGATCGCCCGAGTCGGCTTTCCGCTCACATGGGTGCCTTCCTTCCTCCCCGAAACGTGGAGCATTCTGGCTCGCATCCCAGTCGCCCTAATCAGGTTGGGCATGTCCCCCCACAGGCGAAAAATGAAAAGTGCTCCAGAAAGGCGCAAGAACAGCCACAACGGGTCAAAAAATCGTCCCCTGACTATTCTGTATACTAACTCTGAAGATCCCTCCTGTAGGGGGGCACGCCCGAATTACCAGCAGCCCCAGGGCATGCACGTCGCCGGTGCCTGAAATTCTTCTCGGCCGAGAGGCTGTCGATCGCGCGGTAGCCGGCGTCGCGGACGGGCACGCCCAGTGTCTGGGAATACAGATCCCCGGCCTCCGGGGGGAGCAGCCGGGGGCGCAGCAGGGCAGGAGGGGCGGATAGCGGCTGCCTGGTCGGGGGCCTTGCTCCCCATCTCGCGGCGGCGGCCCCAGCGGCACGCTCTGCCCTGCAGGCGGAGAGCATGCCGTCGCTGGAGACGGAGGCCGGGAGAGGCTCGGGACTCTGACGCTCGGGGACGAGGACAGGGTTAGGCGTGTCGCGCCCGCAGCGTGGTGGGCCAGAACCAACAGCGCGACAATCACGGAGAGGGCACTGGACAGGGAACCCTTGGATGAGGATTCCAGGGTCTGGAGGCCGGTGGAACTCCCATCGTGGAGCGGCCATGGATCTCAACGCCGCCCTCGTCAGACAAGGAAACCTACAAGGTCCGAAGCTTCCTGGGCACATCCCTTACAAGGGGGGCTCGGCCAGAAAGAAACCTCCGCAAGAAACCCAACCCTGACATCCGCGATGTGTTCAGTGAGAACCCAAATTCGTCGATCGAAAATCGTCGAGATCTCATTGGGGGCACCTCGAAATCCAAGAAACCTGAGGGCACCCTGGCAAAATCCAACTGTCGCGGCGAAGCTCCCGAGAGCCGGCGGGGCCTCGCGGCTCTGCAGAGGGTATGGCTGCGGGCACCGGATGCGAGACGGGCGCCATCGCCATGCTCTGCTGAGGTTCTGCATTAGGAGCAAGGAAAGGCGACACCAACACCAACAGGGCGAGGAGATGCGTGGAGGCAAGGGGGGTCTCCCTGGTGGTGTGGTCCCCCCCTCTCGCTCGAGACATCCCCAGTCTCCCGCTCGGGGAAGCATTATGGACCTCCTCGCTGGAGGTGGGCCCCCTGGTGGTGTTGGTGTCGCTTCTCCTCCCTCCGACTGCATGGGGGTCATTCATCCTGGGTCGTCGTCTGTCCCCGTACCGACACTCCCTGGATCTCTCGCGGGGTGCGGTCTGACCACAATTTCGAGGCGAATCCAACCGTGGCGACCACGGCCCCCCAGGAGGCCCCCACCGGGGAAAACGAGGCAAGGGAAAAACAGTTTTGGCACCTTTTCCTCATCCGAGTGGAAGCAAACCCCGAGAGCTCGAAAACGGCGAAACATCTCGAGGCCCCTTTCCCTTGGGACCCGCTTCCCCCCAGGGGAGGAGGAGAAGGAGGAGGAGGCGGAGGAGGAGGAGGAGGAGGACGAGGAGGAGGGGGGGGAGAAGGGGGAGGAGAAGGGGGAGGAGGAGGAGGAGGAGGAGGAGGAGGAGGAGGAGGAGGAGGAGGAGGAGGGAGGAAGGAGGAGGAGGAGGGAGGAGGAGGGGGAGCGCCCTCCGAGGATCGAGCTCCGAGCCGGGTGGATGCGGAAAAGTCCGCGCCTCGGCTCGGGACACCCTGCTGCCTCTCCTGCGCGGCAGGAGGGGGGAGCAGCAGCAGGAGGGTGGAAGGAGGAGGAGGAGGAGCAGGAGGGTGAGGAGGAGGAGGAGGAGGAGGAGGAGGGGCAGGAGGAGGAGGAGGAGGAGGAAGAGAAGAAGGAGGCGTAAGAGCAGGAGGAGGAGGAGGACCTTCCCATCCTCCATTCTCCCCCGTCCTACCTATGGTTGTGGTGGTGGAGGTGTCAGAGCCCGCGGGGTCGGGCGCGGGCGGGGCGTCCCCAAAGAGGCTTGGAAGGGGAAGAGGGCGGAAGCGACACCCCGTGGACAACACGCACATACACAACACACACCACACGCGCGCGCAGTAATAAAAAACACCAAAACACACGAAAGTCGTGTTGTGTTATCCATGGTTGTTTTTCTGCGGACGGGAATGTCCAGAGACCTGGATATGGTGAGGGGGAAAGGGGGGAAGAGGCGGGAGTGAAGGGAGAGAGAGAAGGAGGGGGGGAGGGAGGGAGGGGGAGAGCGAATATGAATGTTGAATCACAACATGAGAAAGGGAGAAGGAGGGAGGAAGGGGCGACGAAGGGAGGCTGATGGTGGTGGTGGCAGTAGCAGTAGTAGTGATAGTAGTAGTAGTAGTAGTAGTAGTAGTAGTAGTAGTAGTAGTAGTAGTAGTAGTAGGTGTAGTAGTAGGTAGTAGTAGGTAGTAGTAGGTAGTAGTAGTAGTAGTAGTAGTAGTAGTAGTAGTAGTAGTAGTAGTAGTAGTAGTAGTAGTAGTAGTAGTAGTAGTAGTAGTAGTAGTAGTAGTAGTAGTAGTAGTAGTAGTAGTAGTAGTAGTAGTAGTAGTAGTAGTAGTAGTAGGTAGTAGTAGTAGTAGTAGTAGTAGTAGTAGTAGTAGTAGTAGTAGTAGTAGTAGTAGTAGTAGTAGTAGTAGTAGTAGTAGTAGTAGTAGTAGTAGTAGTAGTAGTAGTAGTAGTAGTAGTAGTAGTTAGTAGTTAGTAGTAGTAGTAGTAGTAGTAGTAGTAGTAGTAGTAGTAGTAGTAGTAGTAGTAGTAGTAGTAGTAGTAGTAGTAGTAGTAGTAGTAGTAGTTAGTAGTAGTAGTAGTAGTAGTAGTAGTAGTAGTAGTAGTAGTAGTAGTAGTAGTAGTAGTAGTAGTAGTAGTAGTAGTTGTAGTAGTAGTAGTAGTAGTAGTAGTCAGCAGTAGTAGTAGTAGTAGTAGTAGTAGTAGTAGTAGTAGTAGTAGTAGTAGTAGTAGTAGTAGTAGTAGTAGTAGTAGTAGTAGTAGAGTAGTAGTAGTAGTAGTAGTAGTAGTAGTAGTAGTAGTAGTAGTAGTTGTAGTAGTTAGCGTAGTAGTAGTAGTAGTAGTAGTAGTGGTGGTGGTGGTGGTGGTGGTAGTCGTAGTAGTAGTAGTAGTAGTGGTAGTAGTAGTCGGTGGTGAGTAGTAGTAGTAGTAGTAAGTGTTGTAGTAGTAGCAGCAGTAGCAGCAGTAGTAGTAGTAGTAGTAGTAGTCGTTGCACTGGTAGTAGTAGCAGTAGTAGTAGTAGTAGTAGTAGTAGTAGAAGAAGAAGTAGTAGTAGTATAGTAGTAGTAGTAGTAGTAGTAGTAGTAGTAGTAGTAGTAGTAGTAGTAGTGGTAGTAGTAGTAGTAGTGGTAGTAGTAGTAGTAGTAGTAGTAAAAGTAGCCGCCGTGATAGTAGTAAATGTTGATGTTGTTGTAGTCGTTGTAGTAGTAGCAGTAGTAAAGTAGTAGTAGTAGTAGTAGTAGTAGTAGTAGTAGTAGTAGTAGTTGTAGTAGTAGTAGTAGTAGTAGTAGTAGTAGTAGTAGTAGTAGTCGTAGTAGAAAAAGCAATCGTAGTAGTAGTAGTAGTAGTAGTAGTAGTAGTAGTAGTAGTAGTAGTAGTAGTAGTAGTAGTAATACTAGTAGTCGTCGCAGTAGTAGTAGTAGTAGTAGTAGTAGTAGTAGTAGTAGTAGTAGTAGTAGGTCGTACTAGTACTAATAAAAGTAATCGTCGTCGCAGCACTGGTAGTAGTAGTCCTAGTAGTAGTAGTAGTAGTAGTAGTAGTAGTAGTAGAAGAAGAAGAAGAAGAAGAAGAAGTAGTAGCGGTAGTACTAGTAGTAGTCGTAGTCGTAGTCGTAGTCGTAGTAATCGTAGTCGTAGTGGCAATACTTGGTACACTAATAACCATAATAATGAAAAGATTAGTAGCAACGGCTTGTGAGTGGGGGCAGTGGAGATGGCAGTGAACTACTTGCCCTCCCATGGAAAAGGGGGAGGGATGGGGACTACAGTCAAAGATTTTCGAACGGGTGTGCCGTAAACCCATCTGCCCCGTCCACCTCGCGCCGCGTCTGATTGCCAGCATGCCCCATGCGATCGTCCCAGTATCATCGTGAACCCCCCAGAAGAGCCCACAATCTAATCTTTACAGCGGATCGGCGATCGAAGTGAACCAGATCGGCGGAGATCGGCAGCCAAAACTAGATGAATCGAATCGGCGGAAATCGACAAGCTGGCACGGCCTCCGTGGAAAAATGAAAATCGGAATCCGAGGTCAAAGCTAATCGGAATCATAATCGATCGAAATCGAGCCGAATCGAGTCGGAGGGGTCGAAGTGAGCTCTGAGTCCCCCCGATGTTCTTCCCAAGGTCGCCGTTCAGTTCTGAGCTTTCCTTGTGTCTTTCCCACCGCCCCCCTTCCTATTTCAACATCCTGACGTCCATGCGACCTTCCCAATGAGCAATCGCATATCCCTACGATCGCCAAACACCTCCCCCGCGAGCTCGCTACCCCCGCGACGCCAACGTAACTTTCCCCGTCCTCGCCATCGCAGGCCGACTTCCCTCAAGAGCCTCCACGCCATCACGCACTCCTCAACCTCCTCCTCCTCCTCCTCCTCCTCCTCCTCCTCCTTTCTCACGCTCACCCTCACCCTCACCCTCACCCTCACCCTCACCCTTGTGCCTCCTTTCCTTGGGGACCCCGGAACGGTGCGGCGACAGACCGTGCGGCGACCTCGGCATCCCCAGGAGACCTCACCGCACGGTCCGCCACCGCACTGTGCCGGGGGCCCTGGAGGCCCCAGTCGCCCGAGGCGTCCCCAGAGATCGAGCCGAGTCCCAGAGCCGTGCGGTCGCCCCGAGTCCTCCCGAGGCCCGACGCCGCGAAAAGGCGGCAGCGTCGCGAAACCTTTATTTTGCGTCAGCGGCCAGGCAGGGGACGCCTGCGCTGGCGCTGGACCGTGCCTCCACGGGGATGCCGTTGAGAGCGAGGTGTGCCACCGTGCACGAGGCGACGGCATCGCGAGACGGCAAGACCGAGGGCCGAGGCCCAAGCTCTCCGCTGCATCCTCAAAGCCAGACCGATACGAGCTGGCCCCGCGGCCCGAAGCCGAGCGAGCACGCCCGTCGACGATGCGACGCCCGGATCTCGGGGCCCCACCGACTCGCCAAGCGGTATGGTCACCACACCGCTGGGGGTGGCCTGATCTCGGCTGGCACCTCCGCCGCGACGGCCGACGTCTTGTCGTCTGGGCCCCCTGCATTCGGGTGACCCAATATGGGGTCCAGCTACAAGGGGCTGGTGCGCTAGACTTGGGGCCATTGTATTGCAAGTGTACTGCGCCAGAGAATTGTATTGGATTGTGTTGCAAGTCGTGTTCTGCACGCGAGAATCCAGCCATCAATCTGCGCCCTGGAATGTATTGCACGCCCCATAAATACTTCACCCCCACGAATCTATTGCACCCGATCTGTTGCACCACCCCCTTGTCGCTGGACCCCCTTCAGGGTCAACCCGACTGAAGTCCGGACCCTTGCCCCAAGGCTGGTCTTTTGCATTCCGAGCCGTTTCCCGACGGCCTCGGAGCCCCGCGAGGGCCCCTGCACGCCGAAAACTGTTCAAAAACACTTCCGCCGTGCATTTGTTCGGGGCCCGAGCGCTGGGAGATGCCACTGGGTGCGGAAAACATAAATCTTTGGGGGCCCCGGTCTGAGCTTGGCCCCCTTCCGAGCCTCGCGCACCGCCCGGTAGACGGCGACGGCGTTCTCGGAGGGCACGTGCAGCTCGAAGCCCAGCTCGCCCACGAAGGTCAGGCGCAGGCACATAACCCTGTGGCCTGCGAACCGCGGTGCGAATCGATCCTCCCCCTCCTCCTCCTCCACCCCCTCCTCCTCCCCCTCCTTTTCCTCCTCCTCCTCTCCTCCCCCTCCCCCTCCTCCTCCTCCTTCTCCTCCCTCCTCCTCCTCCTCCTCCTCCTCACCCTCCTCCTCCTCCTCCTCCTCCTCCTCCTCCCCCTCCTCCTCCTCCTCATCCTCCTTCTCCTCCTCCTCCTCCTCCTCCCTGGAGGCGCTCGTCCGACCCGAACATGTAGTATACCCATTTCGTAGTAGATCGTTTCCCGAGCGGGGTGGGCAGGAAGCGCCCGCCACGACGCATATACTAGAAGATTTCTCCGTGCGCACGTCGCCCCAAGGGGGCGACGCACGCATAGTATCAGTATGTTGGGGTTACGCCGAGAAGGCCCTGCTCGGATCAAGACCCAGTGGAAGCCGTTCCTTTATCAGGGCAATGCCTGCGCGGATGTTTGGGCGGGCACGGCGGCCAAATGGCCTCGGGGTCAGACGGATGTCCTGCCCACCCCCCGCCCACGAAGATTTGTATGACGCCACTGCTGCCATGGTTCGCAGGAGGACTCGGCGCGCTCGCACTAGTAATTCTTTGGAGGTAGAGCCTTGGGCGGGCAGACGTTTCAGAGACGCGTGCTCCCGAGAGGTCGGCCCACGGCAGGTCTCTCGACGCCAGCGCTCATGAGCTCAGGCCTCTTGTGGGCAGATGGCGCTGCCAGTTGTTCAAGCAGAGTGCCCCTAGCTTTAGGTCGGGCCTGTCCCCCTACAGGGGGATTGTGGGCGAAAATATAAAAATACAAAAAAAAACAAAAGAAGCTCAACAATAGTCAAAAATCGTCCCCATACTAGTTTTGACTATTATTGAATACACCTCCTGTAGACGGACAGCCCCGACTTAACCCTAGGTCTCAACTCCCGGCCGTGGCGGCGCAGGGGTGTCCGCGGGCTCTCGCCGCCGACGCCGGTGCGCCCTTGACCTCGCCTGTTCCAGCGTCCAGTTTCGAGAACGGTCCGCTGCGAGGTGCTCACTTCGCTGGAGGCGTGAGGCTGCAGGCCTCGCATCAGCTCCATCCGATGAGGGATTACTCTCTGAACTGTCGCTCGGTCTGCGGTTTCACGGCGACCTCTGATGGACGCCGTCTCGCCAACGAGTGTGCCGGAGGGAAGGGCCCGCCCAAGAAGGGCGATGAGCATCTCTCCAGAATCCGCAGGAGCCTCCTTCCGTCCCACCGTGGCCCACCTGCGGCCTCGCGGCGGCGGCAGCCGAGCTGGCGGCTGCCGTGTCTCGGGCTCCTGGCGGGTCCTCTGGGCCGTACCCGGGGCCTTCACCTGTTCGTGTGTTGCTGCCTCGTCCGCGCGCGTGTCCCGCGACAGGGCCTCCTCCATGCAGCCGGCAAGCGCCGAAGACCCGCATCCTTCCTCTGCTGCGGCGCCAGCGCCTCCCTCTCCCGCGCCGCTGCAGGAGCTGCCCCTGCAGCTGCTGCGGCCCCCTTGCGGGAGGGGGGGATAGTGATGAGGCGAATGTTGCTGGCAGCCTGGTTGTCCGCAATGTGCAAATGATGACAGAACAATGACTGAGCCGGTGTCTCGCCAAACCGTGACACACTTGCGGAATACTCCTCCGCCTCCGCTTCTTCCTCCTCGTCCTCATGGTCCTCCCCACCCCTCGTCCTCATCCTGCGACGAGGCTCCGGATAACATCAGGCGACGTTCGATAGTTGCCCCGCTCACCCAGCGATGCTTCCACAATGGTGCAGAGCACAGTCGATGGAGCGTGGCATTCATTGATCAGGTCAGGGAACGTAGACTCGTGGCACCTCGAGTTTTCATCAGTTGTAGGCGAAAAACAAGTATGTGGTGTCATTGGTCGTCCTGTTTGATGTGGACATGTGTGTTGTTATGCTCCCTGCGGTCTCCAAAACGTCAGCGACTGCATGGGCCCCGCTGGCCCCGCGATGGAGGGGTCGCGAGTCATAAAAGATTCGCTCCTCCTCCTCCTCCTCCTCCTCCTCCTCCTCCTCCTCCTCCTCCTCCTCCTCCTCCTCCTCCTCCTCCTCCTCCTGGAGGCGCTCGTCCGACCCGAACATGTAGTATACCCATTTCGTAGTAGATCGTTTCCCGAGCGGGGTGGGCAGGAAGCGCCCGCCACGACGCATATACTAGAAGATTTCTCCGTGCGCACGTCGCCCCAAGGGGGCGACGCACGCATAGTATCAGTATGTTGGGGTTACGCCGAGAAGGCCCTGCTCGGATCAAGACCCAGTGGAAGCCGTTCCTTTATCAGGGCAATGCCTGCGCGGATGTTTGGGCGGGCACGGCGGCCAAATGGCCTCGGGGTCAGACGGATGTCCTGCCCACCCCCCGCCCACGAAGATTTGTATGACGCCACTGCTGCCATGGTTCGCAGGAGGACTCGGCGCGCTCGCACTAGTACTTCTTTGGAGGTAGAGCCTTGGGCGGGCAGACGTTTCAGAGACGCGTGCTCCCGAGAGGTCGGCCCACGGCAGGTCTCTCGACGCCAGCGCTCATGAGCTCAGGCCTCTTGTGGGCAGATGGCGCTGCCAGTTGTTCAAGCAGAGTGCCCCTAGCTTTAGGTCGGGCCTGTCCCCCTACAGGGGGATTGTGGGCGAAAATATAGAAATACGAAAAAAAAAAAAAAAGAAGCTCAACAATAGTCAAAAATCGTCCCCATACTAGTTTTGACTATTATTGAATACACCTCCTGTAGACGGACAGCCCCGACTTAACCCTAGGTCTCAACTCCCGGCCGTGGCGGCGCAGGGGTGTCCGCGGGCTCTCGCCGCCGACGCCGGTGCGCCCTTGACCTCGCCTGTTCCAGCGTCCAGTTTCGAGAACGGTTCCCTCCTTTGGGCCGCTGCGAGGTGCTCACTTCGCTGGAGGCGTGAGGCTGCAGGCCTCGCATCGGCTCCATCCGATGAGGGATTACTCTCTGAACTGTCGCTCGGTCTGCGGTTTCACGGCGACCTCGGATGGACGCCGTCTCGCCAACGAGTGTGCTGGAGGGAAGGGCCCGCCCAAGAAGGGCGATGAGAATCTCTCCAGGATCCGCAGGAACCTCTTCCCGTCCCACCGTGGCCCACCTGCGGCCTCGCGGCGGCGGCAGCCGAGCTGGCGGCTGCCGTGTCTCGGGCTCCTGGCGGGTCCTCTGGGCCGTACCCGGGGCCTTCACCTGTTCGCGTGTTGCTGCCTCGTCCGCGCGCGTGTCCCGCGACAGGGCCTCCTCCATGCAGCCGGCAAGCGCCGAAGACCCGCATCCTTCCTCTGCTGCGGCGCCAGCGCCTCCCTCTCCCGCGCCGCTGCAGGAGCTGCCCTTGCAGCTGCTGCGGCCCCTTTGCGGGAGGGGGGGGATAGTGATGAGGCGAATGTTGCTGGCAGCCTGGTTGTCCGCAATGCGCAAATGATGACAGAGCAATGACTGAGCCGGTGTCTCGCCAAACCGTGACATACTTTCGGAATCCTCCTCCGCCTCCGCTTCTTCCTCCTCGTCCTCATGGTCCTCCCCACCCCTCGTCCTCATCCTGCGACGAGGCTCCGGATAACATCAGGCGACGTTCGATAGTTGCCCCGCTCACCCAGCGATGCCTCCACAATGGTGCAGAGCACAGTCGATGGAGCGTGGCATTCATTGATCAGGTCAGGGAACGTAGACTCGTGGCACCTCGAGTTTTCATCAGTTGTAGGCGAAAAACAAGTATGTGGTGTCATTGGTCGTCCTGTTTGATGTGGACATGTGTTGTTATGCTCCCTGCGGTCTCCAAAACGTCAGCGACTGCATGGGCCCCGCTGGCCCCGCGATGGAGGGGTCGCGAGTCATAAAAGATTCGCTCCGGTCAACAAATTTCAGATTACGAATCAAAGCAGTGTTTCGTTTCCCATCGAAAAAAAGCGGGCCCCCTAGGCGCGATCCGTGTGAAAGGTGTGCCAAAACTGGCCTCTGGACGTCGGCTCACCACGCAACCGGGGATCCCCTAAAATGATTTAAAACGGGTCAAAATAATATTTGTTGCCGGTCAACTACAAGTCTTTCCGGCGCCATATGCGCGATTCGTGTGAGAAAAAACATAATCGGCCTGTGGACGCCGGCTCACCAGGCAACCGGGGAGCCAACCAGCCAGTTAACCAACCAGCCAACCACCACTTCCTGGTGCATTTTTTGAGCATGTCCCACCGCGCTGGGCCCAGAACACAATTGTTTGAACCTCGAGTGACCGCGGGGCGGAGAAAAGGAGGAGTGGAAAGGAATGGAACGGAATGGAATGCAATTCAATGGAATGGACGGAATGGAATAGTATTGAGGGAAGAAAAAACGACCCTACCCTGGGTTACTAGTGCGTGGTCTGTAAACCTCCTGGGAACCCCCAAAGCCTAGAACCGCCAGGACGCGGCACATCACGCAGGGATTACACTGTCAACCCACGGGAGTTTCAGCGCACAAGGCCTCGCAAACCAGGGTAGGGGCGTTTTTTTTATGCCCTTGACAGTAGAGAGGAGCGCATGTAATGAAAGAGCGTGGAGTGGAATGGACGGGAGGCGCGCGCGGAGCCGTGAGCGGGCGGGCGGGCGAGCGGGCGGGCGTGCATGCGTGCGGGCGGGCGCACGGTGTTGCGGTGCGGTGCGGTGCGTTGCGTTGCAGCGCGCTGCGTCGCAGTACATTGAGATGCATGTCGTTGCATTGCGGTGCGTTTGCAATGTGTTGCATTGAGTCGCCTTGCATTGCGTTGCGTTGCGTTGCGTTGCATTGGAGTGTATCCTGTTTCGTTGCACTGCAGTGCGCTGTGTTGCATTTGCATTGCATTTGCAGTACATTGGATTGCATTGCAGGAAGCTGCAGAGGGGGGCGGAGGGGAGGAAGAGGGGGAGGAGGGATGAGAGGGAGGAGGGAGGAGTAGTAGTACATTGCATTGCAGAGAGGAGGAGGAGGGGCGAGGAGGGAGGAAGGGGTAGGGAGGAGGGAGCATGGAGGAGGGAG